GTAAAATAAAAAAATATTAAATATAAATATTTATGTTTATAACCTACGCGCACTTATAAAAAAAAAAAAACATGTTATTTTTACTAATTGGCGGCGCCCGCAGGGCCTTTTAATAAAAAAAAAAAAATAAAAACACAAAAAAAAAAAAAAAAAAAAAAAAAAAAAAAAAAAAAAAAAAAAAACTTAAACAAGCGGCTAAGCCGCGCGGCGCGCAGCACCTAATATATATAAAATAAAAACTAAGCCTACAAGGGCGCCAACACCAACACCCAATATAAAAGTAACCTTAATAAAAATTTTTAAAAGTACTAAAGCATAGTAAACCCCGCACTAAAAGTAACAAGAATTTATAAAAAAATTAATAATATAATATAGTATAAACTAAAATATATAAATATATACTTAGCAGCTAAAGCCATACCAGCATAAAAAAAAATTATAATTATTAAAATAATATTAAATAAAGGTTTAAAAATTAAAAAAAAAATTATTATAATAAATTAATAAACTAAAATATAATAATACTATAGGAAGGGGACTAACTTATATAATAAATTATTATTTTTATTAAGGGGGGCACTAACCTATAAAGTAAAGTTAAATATAAATATAATAATATTTATAAGGTTAGTTACTTGTATATTATTAGCCATGGTAGTTTACTTAATAATTACTTTAAATACTTAATAAGCTATTTTTAAGGCAGCAAGGTTTTTATAAGCTTATGGATTATTAGCTTTTATATATATAATATTAATAGTATTAAAAATATTTTATAGCTAATTACTTACTAGGGTAATATTAATAGTTATATACTTTAAAAGCACCCTTTTTATATTATAATAAAACTAGTACTTCCCACCCCTCACGCGGTTATAAGTAAAAGCTTTTATTATAATATTAATAATAAATATATTTTTATTATAATACCTTATGGTAGTAACGCATATAATACACCATAAAATATAAAAATTAAGTAGTAAAGCTATAAAGCCCGGGGGTAGTAAGAAAAGAATATTAATAAAAGCCTTATTAGCAGGGGTAGCGGGGGTAGTAGTAAAAATAGTAATAATAATAGTAGTAACAGGGGCATATAAGTATTAAAATTAAGTTATTTTAATAGCTAGTATATTAATAATTATTAATATGTAAGTAAAGGGCAGGAAAATATAATTTTATATACTAAAAATAAAATAAAAAGTAAAGGCTAAAACCAAGACTTAACTACTATAATAAAAAAATGCAAAATAAAATACTATAATAAGATAAATAACTACTAATAATAGTATTTAAAATATAATATAAGATTATATTAAATATTAAAGCAAGGGAAATATAAAGCAAAGGGTAAATATAAAAAACTTTAAAAAAAATAGGGTTAAAAACACGCGATATAATAAAGGTTATAATAAAGGTAAATTATATTTAATTTAATTATTAAAAATAGTTTTAAAAATATAAAAATAATAAGGGCTAAATATAAAAAGCTTATTAGCTAAATTAAAAAGGCAAGTGCGTAGTAAAATATAAAAAAAAA